GTCTCCCCGCCTTTGCGACCCCTGCCAGTCGACGCTGGGGTCATCGGGCACCCCCGCTGCAGGCATCCTTAAATAAGACTCTACTCCCCATGCTGCAGCCGTTTTTTTCATTTCAGAGATCTGGGCCTGGAGACGTAGGGTTTGCGCGCGGCTGCGCCCTTCCAGGACGGCATGTACATGGGCCTGGCTAGGATCGGCACGGCGTGCAGTTGGTGCCTCTTCCGCCAGACTCAGAACCCTCGTCGTGATTTTCATCCAGAGTCATTTTTTGACTCCCCCAGGGCCCGGCGAGGCCCCTGGACGCCGAAAGCGGCAGAAACAGCAGCCCCTCGCGATCTTCAACGACGCGAGGTCGGATATCGGACGATGCTGTTTGTTTCAGTCCGCACCCCAGGAAAAGTCTCGGCCCCTCCCTCGGGGGCCAGGATTGCGTCCCGGCTCCGTTGTCGGTGACCACGGGGCCCGATGACGATTATCGTCAGAGGTTCGGGAGAAGGTATGCGGAGCCAGAATATGTACACCACCACCTCCCTAACCCCATCCCTCTCCCAGGAAAGGGGAAGGGAGGAGGAGGGTAGAGGAGGGAGGGGGAATGAAGGTGGTGGTGGTTATCTTTGGGGCCCGCAGGGTAATCTTGGGGATGTGCTGCGGTGTGCGCGTGCCTCCCTTGCCGGCTCGCCGCGTCCTGGTCCGCGGCGAGCCTGGGTGGGAGATCATCCCGGAGCTGGCGCCCCTGCCGGAGGAGGACGTGGTGGACAAGCCGGGCAAGGCCGGCGGCACAGCTACAGCTCCCCAGGGGGAGCCCATACAGGGGGTGGCGCTACTTGCGAACCCTGCCCCTACCCCCTCCTACCCCCTCAGAAATCGTGTGTGTGTGTGTGTGTGTGTGTGTGTGTGTGGGGTAGGGTTCGCATGTGGCCCCCTACCAGAGTCAAGCACTGGCGAAGCGTCCTGGCTCGCCTGTAGGCCTACCAAGGATGTTCCTAAGAACCTCTTGTGGTTTCGAGGACATGTTCTCAGAACATTTCTGGCCGGGGCTGTCTTGTTTTAACACATCGGGTTTATGTTCTGAGAACACTATTTTTGTTCTTATAGAACATTTTTGGGTTCTAATATTATTTCGTGGTAGGTCTATAGGAATGCCGGGACGGTCGGTCTCTGCTCGACAGAGGGGTTGTGGAACGAGAGCAGGCGGGAGAGCGGACCAGTTCGTGCCAGGTCTGGTCCAGGCCCCGCAGCGGGTTTGGGCGGAGCGGACTCGCCTCACAGGGCGGGAGCTGCGGTGCCCGCATGCGTCCCCGCCGCCAATTTCGGCACACACGCTTCGTGGCCCCATAGGGAGCTCCACCGAAGACGGTACTCACAATTACGCTACTCACAATCGCATATGGTTGGGTCCTCGCGTGAATGAGACCGTGGATCCCAGGGCCACTGGACCGAAGATCGCCCCTCCTCCCCGTCGGCGCTTGAAGGGCAAGCAGCCGCCAATACCGCCGCCACTGAAGCCCCCCAGGCTCCCTCGGGCTCCGCTCGAGAGGGCATGTTTAGCTCTTGCTTGCGCCATGCCATCGGGTAAAGGAGAGGGCCCTCGGGAATCTCGGGACTCGTACCTCCTCAGGGCCAGTCGGTACATCGATTTCGGATTCAACATGCAGATCGTTTGCAATACGTTTTCATCAGTTTCCGTAATTGGTTTACCCCGCGGAGAGGCACAACAGTAATCAGGCTACACCCGATGTCAGATTTCGCGATCAGCGCGGCTAAGCCGGCAGTTCGGCAGGCAGCCAAACTGCACTTGTATTGCGATGTATCTTTTCGAGGCAACATCTCCGACGGCGCCTGGGTCGTCGCCGCAGCAGTTGACAGCAGCGGCGACGTATGATGCTACCAGGGATTTGATAGCACTTCGCGTAACCCCACCAGCCCATCCAGAAACGATGCCCAGAGGAATTGCCTCGATCAGGGAAGTGGGCAGCACGCAGAGGAAGGGTCCCCAGTGGAGGCCTCTTGGAGCGTCTTGGGTGCCTCGGAGAGCGTCTCTTGGGAGCATCTTGGAGGCCTCTTGGGCGCCTGTTGGGGCCTCCTGGGCGCCTCTTGGGGCACTCTTGAAGCGCTCTTGGGAGCCTAGGGAGCGCTCTTGGGGCCATATTGGAGGACATCGGTCAAACAAGCAGCGAGCATTAGTTAGCGTTGTCCCTCGGGAGCCCAAACAATCACTTCTTGGGGCGATCTTGGGGCGCTCTTGAAGCGCTCTGAGGCGCACTTGGGGCCGTCTTGGGGCTCTCTTGAGCCTCTCTTGGAGCGCTCTTGGGCCATCTTGGAGCCATCTTGAGGCCTCGGATGGCCATTGGAAGCGAAAAGGCGAGAAAGCCGAACACATAGATTTTCCTAAGGTTTTGGCCTCTTCGGGGCCTCCTGGGGGAGCTCTTTGGCCACTTGGAGCCGTCTTGGAGCGGTCCTGGGGCATCTTGGAGCATCGTGGGAGCCATTATGAGACATCTTGGGATATCTCGAGCCAACTTGAAGGTCATCTTGGGCTCCCCCAGGCGCTCTTGGAGTCATCTTACTCAGTGCCCCCCCAAGAGGCCAACATGTGGCTAACACCTGAGTCACATCAATGATTCGGCATTCTCGCCGAGGCCTCTTGGAGCATCTTGGGTGCCTCTGGGGGGTCTCTTGGGGCATCTTGGAGGTCTCTTGGGGGCCTCTTGGGGGCATCCTGGGGGCCTCTTGGGGCTTCCTGGCCACCTCTTGGGGTCATCTTGGGGCACCCTTGGGAGCCTTGGGGGCCATCTTTGGGCCATCTTGGGTGAGATCGATCACTGGAGGGGGGGGTCCCTAATTAGGGTCCCCCCCCCTCAGGAGGCCAACATGGGGCCCACTGATTTTGGCGTCCTCGCCGAGGCCCTTCTGGACGCTCCGACGACTCGCGGAGCCCCCTGTCCAGGTCCATGGGAAGGGGGTAGGGGGAGGGGTAAACCCCTCCCCGAAGGGGAAGAAGGAGCGGTGGAAGAGGAACCGCCCTAAACCACCGTTGCTCAGCGGGCTGGTGGGACTAATGGGAGTATTGTGGGCGCCCCCCAGCTCGAGGCATCCTTCAACATGCTCTGTTAGGAGCGAGACAGATGGGGGCATCCCGGTTTGGTGCACTCAGGCTGGTGAGTGGGGCGGTGCCGTTGCCCTGGTAGGCGTTTGCTGAGGCCGTGGACCCTGGTGGGTCACGGCTGGAGCCCGTCTTGCGCGTCAGAGGATGGCGCAGCATAGTATAGCTGATCTGGTTTTCTGCACATTTTCACCCGCTCGCCCCTGACCTTTCGCTGATCGCAGCGATGCTGCTGGTAAGTGGTGTCAAGCTCGGCTTGGTGTTTGTGAGGCAGTTCTTTGTACATAGCGGCTGCTCGATCGACGCCACCACTATTTTGGAATGCGGCGGCGCAGGCTTCCTTTCGGCTCAGGTTGCTGTCCTGGCGATGGTGTAAGGTTGCCCTTTGGGCGGCCTTGGCCTGGTGGCTTTGGCTGCGGTGGTGCAGAGAGCGCACGGCGTGGGCCTTTTGGTTCCACGGCGCGCGCGGACGTGAATGGAGTTGGCTCGAATCAGTCACGGCGGGGTGACGTGTGTCCGGTCTCGCGATGCGTTCAGCAGATGTGCATGGCGGTCCGAGTCATGGCTACGACTTGGGCCGAAGGTACTCGAGCCGAGATTCGAGAGAAGGAGGGATATGACAAGGAGGAGGACATACTTGTTTTTCCTTTCCATCCTCTCCCTCCCCCCTGTCCCCAGGACTCGTCGATGGGAGGGGGGGGAGGCGGCAGCCTGGAGGAGGATAAGGGGGTGCAGGGGTGGATGAGGATAAAGATGGGGACGATAATGGCGGTGAAGATGATAATGAGGGTGGGAGTGGTGATGATGATGATGCTGCTGCCGCTGCTGCTGCTGCTGCTGATGATGATGATGATGATCATGATGCTGATGCTGATGCTGATGCTGATGATGATACTGATGATGATGATGATGATGATGATGATGATGATGCTGGAGATGATGATGATGATGATGATGATGATGATGATGATGATGATGATGATGATGATGATGATGATGGTGGTTGTGGTGATTATGGTGATGATGGTGACAGCGACGGCGGCGACGAAGACGTCGATGATGCTGATGATGCTGCTGATGATGGTGGTGATGATGATGGTGGTGATGGTGGTGATATGATGATGGTGATGGTGATGTCCGCTGAGGCGGATGATGGCGGTGGTCATGGTGATGTTGATTGTTGTGGTGGTGATGGTATTGATGATGATAATGATGATGCTGATGAGGTTGGTGATGGTGATGGTGATGGTGATGTTGATGATGATGCTGATGATACTGATGATGATGTTGTTGATGATGATGATGATGATGATTATGATGATGATGATGATGATGATGATGATGATGATGATGATGATGATGATGATGATGATGATGATGCTGAGGAAGAGGAGGAGTAGGAGGAGGAGGAGGAGGAGGAGGAGGATTGTGGGGGTGGTGATTGTAATGGTTTTTAGTGATGGTGATCATGATGATGGACGGGGACCACGAGGAATATATGACGGGGAGGGGACTCTTGATGTGGCGGGCTGGGCAGACTGGGAAGTGGCTCCCGCGCAGAGGGGTCCTTCTGGGCTACCGACCTGGACATGCTCCTGCGCACCTGCGGCGTGCGCCGGCTCATCCTCGGCGGTATCACCACCGACGTCTGTGTGCACACAACGATGCGGGAGGCGAATGACAGGTTGACCGCCCGACCATATCCATGACGAGGATGGGATTTGCCCATGTCCTCCGCCTGGGAAGCCGGTCTTCTTGAACCTCAGGAGGAGGCGGATATGGATAGATTTGGGGCCCATGCGGTACCAGTGTACCCATATCCATTGCCCCAAGAACGTTCCTGGACATCGCTTCTCTGGGCGGTGGACATTTCAGGTTACATCCCCGCTTCGCATCCATGTCCACCGCCTCGGAGCCGTGCCCCGGGATCTCGACGGGACCTTTCGCGGAATGGCTGATACGGATATTTGCCCACCTCTCGGCGGGTGCGTATCCATATGCATCGTTCCCGGGGGAGATGCCGGGGTTGGCCACAGGCAGTTGTGGGCGTGGATACCCCCTGGCGATGCACAGGGGGTACGAGTGCGTCCTCATTACCGACGGTACTGGTGCCACCAAGCGCGAAAACCACGACGCCGCCATCTCCATTCGGGGGGCACTGATTGGCCACCTCACCGATCCTGGCCGCCCGATCCTCGGCCCAGGATCTGGGCCCAGCCTCTCTGACCCTGGGCCCAGGATGGGCTAGGCGAGGAGCGCAGTTTCTCAACAGTGGGAGCGCCCTCCTCTTCCCCCCCCCCTCTGCCCCCAGGAGCCCGAGCGCCATTCCAACACCGGGGAGGGCCGCGCCTCGAGAGGACGGCAGCTCTCGCGGGGAGTTCCGTTTCCGCAGGGCTCGGGAGCTCCCCGCTCGCCTGCAGGGCAGGCGCACTTGGGCCCCGCGCGTGCAGATCTCTCGCCTCACTGTCTGGCGAGGATCAGGAGGAACAAAAACACAGACACAACTAATCGTCGATCTCCCAGAAAATATGGGAAAATATGGGAAGTGGGGGGGAAGACAAAGACCCAGAAAATACAGGAAAATATGGGGAATATTCTTATTTGGATGTATTTAGTTGTGTGTGTCCTGGGGCCCCTTCATAGGGTCCGTGAGGCGGTCCGTTGGCGTCCCCCGGTCCGTGGTGCAGATGCAGGGCGGCGTCTTCGGCGCCGTGGCCAGCGCGGAGGCCGTGTGCGCGGCCCTGGACGCCCTGCCGCGCGTGGACCCCGCGGCCGCGGCGGCGGCCGCGGCGGCGGGGCGCGGGGCCGAGAAGGCGCGTGGCGTCCAGGGGCAGGAGGGAGGCAGGGCGGCGTGGGGCGGGGAGGGAGGGGGGGGAAGGGGGGGAGGAGCAGGAAGAGGCGGAGGCGGAGGAGGGGGGGGGGGGAACGGAGGGAGGGGGAGGAGGAGGGGGGGAGAGGAGAGGAGGAGCGGGAGGGGAGGCTCACGCTCGCTTCCTCGCTCGGGCTGGCCCATGCTCCTACTCACGCACGCGCACTGGTTGTGAGGACGTCTTAGGCGAGGCGCTGGTTCCAACACCCCCAAGGGGGAGCGCCATAACGGGGGTAATGCACGGGCCCGTTCGCGCCCAGATCTGTGGGGATGGCTCAGGCGGTTTGTATATCCGCATACCCAAACATCATCTGCGTTCGTGGCATGATGCGAGGATGTATCAGGCGATGGGGCCGGCTTCAGCACCCCCAAGGGGGAACGGCAGGGACGTATCTCAAGGGCCCTTTCGCGCCTAGTTTGCGGGGGTGTCTTCGGCGAGTTGCTTGCTTGGGTGCCCAACGTACTTTGCTTTCGATGCATTTTGCGACGACGTCTCAGGCGGAGTGCTGATTTCTGCCCCCCCATAGGGGAACGCCAGACGGGGTACTGCACGGGCCCGTTCGCGCCCAGAGATGTGGGGCTGTGTCAGGCTGCTTGCCTGTCTGTGTGCTCAACATCCTTTGGTTCCGGAGCCGATTTTGAGGATGTCTCAAGCGAGGCGCTGGTTTGATCACCCCCAGTGGGGAGCGCCGGGGAGGCATCTCACGGGCCCGTTAACGCCCAGATTGTGCAGTTTGCCTGTTCGTGCGCCCACCATCTCCTGCGTTCGGAACAGATTTTGAGGATGTCTCAGGCGAGGCGCTGGTTTCAACACTCCCGAGGGGCAACGCCAGGGGAGTATGACATGGGCCCGTTCGCGCTTGTTCACGTGCCCAACATCTATTGCGTTCAGAACAGATTTTGTGGCAGGGTGCTGGTTTCAGCACCCCCACAGAGGGGGCCGCCAGGGCGTATGACGCTCGCCCGTTCGAGCTCTGATTCTGGGGATGCCCCCAGCGGTTTGCCTCTTTGCGCGCCCAAGAGTTTTTGTTTTCGGAGCAGACTCTGAGGATGCTTCAGGCGCGGCGTGCTTGTTTGGATGCCCAGCACCCTGCTTTCATAGCAGATTGCGAGGATGTCTCAGGCGAGACGCCCGCTTTGGCACCCCAAGAGGGAACAGCGAGAGGGGCACGATACTCGCCCGTTCGCGCCCAGTTTGTGGGGATGTCTCAGGCGGTTTGCCCGCCTGGCGTCGTCCTGCCCAGAGGCTTCTGGACCTCACTCGCTCTCCTCCACTTCTTCCTCCTTCAGCTTCCTGCGCTTCCAGATTTATTCAGCACCACCTCTTCCCCACTCACATTCGCTCACTAGAGTCAGAGTTGGCCACATTCAATTTCACTCATATGCAGACTTCAGCCCCGCTCGCACAGGCTCACTCGCACTTACATTAACTCACACTCATATTCACCCAGCTCAGGTTCACTTGTGCTCAAACTCACCCGTGCTTAGGTTCATTCATATTCACCAGATCCATACTCAGTCTTACTCACATTCAAACTCGCTCACATTCAAACTCATTTATCCTTAGATTCAAACGCCTTCATATTCGCTCGTAGTCAGATTCACTCGCACTCAGATCCAATCATTTTCATATTCACATTCATCAACTCATGGAGTTGTTCCCTCCCTTTTTTGAAGGCCAAAACAGCAGGTTCCAATAACTTTGCTTGACATCTTCTGGCAAATTTGGTGTGTACGAAGGAGTCCCAGAGGAAACAGGGATGTCGTTCGTGACAGCGTCGGCCTGCCCCGTGTGGTTTTTGTGGCAGGTCCTGAAAAGGATGTCCAACCACACGCCGAAACGCTGAGGGCGAACTGGACCAGGGGTGTCCGAATAGTTGGGCATACTCAGTCCGAGACCAAAGGATGATCCCAAGACCAAGATAATGCCGATTATATTGCGCTTGGGGTGACATGTAGTTGTTTTAAGAATCCTTCCATTCAGAGTTGACATGATGTTGCACTTGTTGTGATATGACAGGCAAATAACTGGTTATCAGCCGAAGCTCTCCAGGAGCTCGTCTTCGGCGGCGCAGCCTTTTCCCATCAGTCAGAGAGATTCCGGCATGCCTGCGCGTGTTGCAGAGAGATTCCGGCATGCTTGCGGTGAAGTCGGCTCCGCCGTCCTGTGCTCCAGTCAGTGCTCTGGTCACGGGGGCGGGGAGTCAGACATTCAAGGAAAAAGGGGGCACTTGCGGCCAGTCCGCCAGGTGCCGACGGTGTCACGAAAGAGGGGGCAGTTGTTCCCTCCCTTCTTTGAAGGCCAAAACAGCAGGTTCCAATAACTTTGCTTGACATCTTCTGGCAAATTTGGTGTGTACGAAGGATTCCCAGAGGAAACAGGGACGTCGTTCGTGACAGCGTCGGCCTGCCCCGTGTGGTTGGTTGTGGCAGGTCCTGAAGAGGATGGCCAACCACACGCCGAAACGCTGAGGGCGAACTGGGCCAGGGGTGCCCGAATAGTTGGGCATACTCAGTCCGAGGCCAAAGGAGGACCCCAAGACCAATATAATGCCGATTATATTGCGCTTGGGGTGACATGTCGTTGCTTTAAGAATCTTTCCATTCAGAGTTGGCATGGTGTTGCACTTGTTGTGATATGACAGGCAAATAACTCATGGTCAGACCCATCCGCACTCAGACTCACCCACATTCAGACTCACGCTCATTCAGATTCGCTCACACTCAGGCGTTCGCATGTTCAGATTCTTCCGCGCGCAGATTCTCACACCTAGAATCGCTCACCACACTCATACCTCAACCATAGCTCAGATTCGCTCAGTATTCTCGCTTGGTGGTCCAGTGCCCCCTCGCCATTGCTCTTGTGCTTCTCTCGCCTCTCCTACAATATGCCCAGTGGAGGAAGACGTCACTGAAGTCGTCGCTGTCTCCGTCGTCGTTGTCGTGTACGTCGTCCACGCTGATTCGCTTTCGCACTCATATGCCCATATACAGAGTTCCGCAGCGATATGTGACAAGAGTCTGAGATGTACATATTGGGATCTTCGCGCCGAGTAGTTCTATCTGAGGGCGGAGGCGGAGGATTCTTCTTTGTGTTTGTGTTCACTGCTTCCCCGTTCGTTCTCTCCTCCGCGCTGTTCTGCCTGTTCTCGCCGTTGTTTTCCTCTTCCGCTGCGTCTATTCGAGGGTTGATGCTGCGCACGGCCCCGCCGAGCAACATCAAATCTCACCGATGGGGGCGGAGGCGGAGGGGCGCGGTTCAGCAGAGTGGTGTCGTTTGCGGGTCCACATGAGACCTCGCTTTCCTGGTCGATGGCAGCCGCGCGCATATTTCGTCACTTTCGACGCTTGCCCATGGGATCTCCCACGGAGTGGTGCGGAGGAGGGGGAAGAGGAGGACGTGGAGGAGTAGGAGGTGGGAAGGGGAGGGGGCGGGGGAACAAAAAAAGGCCGTGGGTAGTTTGTGTGCGACGACTGGATCTGAGGGGTGAGTTAGTGAGACCAATCGCGATACGAGTCGAGAAAGCGAACCACGGACGTTTGCGAGCGAGTCCCTCTGCCTTGCCGGGAGCCTTCGGCCACTGGTCGGCATGGATCCGATCTCCACGCTCGCATCGGCTCGCACCCGCAGCAGCGATGCATATTCGTGCCCCGGCCTTTTGACCACTGCGCGGGCGGCGCAGGCGCGGCTGCTGTCGCAGGTGCGGGCGGCGCTGGCCGCCGGCGTGGTCGGGGCGGCGGAGCTGCGGGAGCTGGCCGGCGGCGCCGGCAGCCCAGGCGCCACGGCGGGCCGAGAAGACTGCGAAGGCCTTGCGGCCGGCGCCGTCGACCCCGAAGGCGGGACCTCCCCGGGGACTCCGCCGGCGACCCCCCCTCCCCCCTCGGGCTTCCAGGGGGGGCGGCGGTCTGACCCAGGACCCCCCCTCCCCGCCTGATTTGTCGCCTCGTCGAGGTTAACTCGAAGAGAGATAACGAGAGAATAAGATGATATCAATGATCAACTTCAACTGTGTATAATGGGAAGAGTGTCTCTTTCCTCGGGGCAAGGTGCCTGGGGCTCGTTCACGAGCCAAGTCAAACAAACAGTTCGATATGGAAACCGCGCACAGAAAGCTCGAGCACTGAATATGAGTACAGAAATCCACCTACTAACCTTGGTTAGAGTTCTAGACAAAAACCTGATTTCTACGAGACGGGGGGTTCAGTGCTCCCCTTACTGTAGGTGAAATATCTCAAGACCTGAAATGAGCTTCTGATGAGGCTTGGCAGAGTGAGACAGAGCTGAGAACGAGGGGGGACAGGCCTGTACAGCAGCGGCCATGCTCGAGCGGGTCTGTAGCTGCTCATCCTCGAAGTCACTCTCTGGGTCTTCGTCGCTGTAGCTGGGCACCACAGGAGGTCGATCCTCATCGTCGATTGTGTCCAAGGTGTCCTTTTTCATGACCTTGCGACGCTTGGATGACGTGAAGCTCGGGTCTTGCACCAAGGCCCACTGCTGCTTGACGTAGAAGTCCAAGGTAACTTGCAGAGCGGGAGCTTCCAACTTCGTGAGTCCGTCGGCTATCATCGCTTCAGAGTGGACCCAGCGTAGCACGGTTGTAGCTGCACTCATGCTTTGACGTAGGGCCAGCGCTTCGATCGCGGACCTCTGGTCGTTACAGCCGTATCCGGACGAGCATGCTCTCACCACACTGTCATACATGGCCTTGCAGTCAGTCACTAGCGTACCGGACACCGTCCTGATGCACTCGTCGATCTCGTGGACAGGTATCTGTCGTCCGTGTAGCATCTCATACCAGGCTAATCGAGCATACTCTTGAGCTTCGTTGGCCATGGTACCCATTTGAATTTCGGCGCTCAGAGAACTGCGAGCTACCCGAGGTAACTTACGAGAGGCTCCTTGGATCACCGAAACACTTGTAAGATGCCCTTCCAGGATCTTGCGTTCCGCCATCGCCAGAATCATTCCACCCTGAGAGCCTCCTGATTTGCGTACCTTCCATGCTGCATCATGCCACGTTACGAAGACCGGGTCGTCCATGGGCTTGAACACGATTGTGATCCACGAGGTCTCATGAGCTGTGTGCACTAGCTTATTGATCTTCTTGACGGTCGCCATCGTTCCAGTTGGCACTGCGCCGCCCAAGATACTCGTCTCTCCTGCGAGCCATGTCATTCCCTGAGACGCCAGGAACATGGTACTCCCCAGCGCGGCTCGGCACTTGGACTTGAGGCGGTCGGACAGCGGTACCTCGTCCCTCAGCTTCGACTCTTCCTTGGTCAGCTCGATGTACTCGACCTTCTGCACGGCCTTGGCCAGGCTCTGGATGATGGTATAGTCCGCCAGCTGCACGTACTCTGAGCCGCACTGCGTGATGAATCCGGTCTCCCAGGATCCCCAACTGTACAGCTCTTGCACCTGGTACAAGTTCTTGTGGCCTATAGGTGAGCTCGGTATTCCTATCACAAAGTCGTCCACGTGTACGAAGATGACCGTTTCAACCTGACCGTCGCTATCGTACTTGATCCACAGGCATGGCTCCAAGGTCATAGCCACATATCCCAGCTTCTTCAGGTCGCTGTCCACCTTGTGGTACCACTCCTTCGGGGCATTCACGAGTCCATATGCCGCCTTTAACATCTTTGCGCACTCATCATCTGACAATTGCATGGCCTCGCGTAGCTCGGGAACCGGCTCCACCAGCAGGTCGTGCTTGGCTTGAGTTGGATCTCCCTGCAGGAAAGCTGCCTTGACGTCGCCCTTGTAGAGCTTGAGCCGCATGTTGGCCATCATCTGCAGCGCCAAGTTCCGGCCTCGAGACGAGACGGTGGGGCTCGACTTGTCGATCACGGCCAGACGCGGGTCCTGGAACCCCAGCAGGATCAGCCTCGCTTTCACCTTGCCGTCGTCCTTCAGAATCAGGTGCCACCTCATCTTCATAGGTTTCACCCCGGCTTTTCGGAGAGCCGCCTGACACACCTCGTTGTGCATCCAGTTGTTCACCTCCACGAGTTTGGCGTTGCCCACCAAGGCCTTCACCTCCGGAGTCGCTTTCCGCAGGTTGATCTCGACCTGGCCCTTCTTGACTGCTTTCTTCAGCGTCTGCTTCGGCTTCTCGTTGAATGCTGCCAGCGCGTCGCCCTCCATGACGAGCTCGGCCAGGTAGACGTCCCTGTCCTCTGTCATATTGGAGAAGATCTCAGCCACTCCGAGCTCCTCAGCCGTCCTCGCCTTCTTCTCGGGGGGTGCCTCTGGTGGCGTAATCGGTGCTGTCCTGCTAGCCACGCTGCGCTGGATCGATATCGGTACATCATCCAGGAGAGGGTTCTTCTTCACTCGATACTCGGTGAAGGCCGGCCTGTCTGGTGCTGAGGCTGCTGCTGGAGGTGGTGTCGATGATGATGCTCGAGATTCTGGAGTCTCCTCCTGATCGGGCTCTGAGTCGGGGGCCTCCGCGATACGGCGAAGTGCTTCTTCTGCGCTCATGTCCTCATCCCCGGGGGGCTGCTGATCTCCTCCAGGTCCTTCGAAGTCCTCGCTCGAGATCTCATCGACCTCGGGCATGGCCTCGTCCTCCGCAGGATCTGCGGGCACCTCGTTCTCGTCGGCTCTCTCTGGTTCTGGGTCTCCTTCAGGCTCGTCAGCCGAAACCTGACGCTCGGCTCGATCATGATCTGCTCCCTCGGGTGGTCTCTGATGGCTTAGATCCCACTACCTCGCACCGATGTCCATGGCCTCCATCAGGGGCTGTCTCTCGATGGGCTTCGCTTTCTGAAGGATCTCGTGGAGGGCCTTTTTGTGCTCCGACGCGGGACGAAGCTGCTGAGGCGTGGTCAGGATCAGCTGGTTGTGGTGGTACACCAGCACCAGGTTGCGGGGGGTTGCCTCGCCCTTCTCGTGACGGAAGAACTGGTTGACCACGAGGGCAGGTCCGATGAATTCGCCCTTGGACTTTTTCAGCTTGTCCTTCCTGCTGCCAGGCTCCACCCAGTAGAAGACGAGCTCGCCCGTCTCCCACGTCCTGAACTTCCTCGTCTTGGACAGCGCGGCCAGTCGAGCCTGTCGGTCTGCGAGAGCCTCGGCGAAAGCCTTGCGGGCCTGCATGCGCCTCTTCATCATCAGCTCCGCGCTGGTGCCTTTCTCCGCCTCGGCTTGGAGCTGCACGACTGTGCCCGTCAGCTGGGAGTCTAGTGGACGCAGCTGCCTGCCGAAAATCACCTGGTCGGGCGAGGCTCCGGATACCCGGAACATCTCCGCGTGGGCTGCTGCCGCCCAGCTGAACAGCTCTTGGATCGGGCACTCCGGGTCCATGATGGCCATCCTCGTAGCTGCCACCTTGAGCAGGTTGATGGTCACTTCCACGCGCCCGTGCTTCCAGTGTGCCTCGGCGGGTCCGACCTCCCAGTGAATCCCATGCTCTGAGGCCGTCTCGTTAAGCTTCTTGGCTCTGTAGGCTCCGGCTGGGTCAGTCCTTACTTGCAGAGGACGACCGAAGTACCGCGCCCAGCAATTCACGAAAGTGTCCCACACCGTCGCAGACGAGGTCTCGCCCGTGTTCCCTTTGTTTGGCACGGTGGTGTGGATCACTGGCACGGCCTTGGCTGAGCCCTCGTCGACCATCATCGTACCTCGAGCTCTGGTCTCGGTGACTGGGTGGATCCAGTCGAAGCCGTCCATCTGGAGCACGTCCAATGGTTCCGCCTCGCGACCCGCTGCCACGGGCATCGGCTCCCGACGGGCCGTTGCTTCGCAGATGCTGCATTTCAGCTGGCCTGCCAGCGCGATAACCCAGGGCTGAGCTCCCTTCCGAGTGAGGTAGGCGCGCATGGCATTGAGGCCCATGTGGTTCATGTTGACGTGGATGCTCATGAGCTCCTTCTTGACCAGGTCAACCACCTTCGGATCTATCTTCGTGAGGTCGTCCTCGTTGGCAGTCGTCTGGTTCATCTCCTCCTCGTCGGTCGCGAATACTTTCTGCACCTCGAAGTAGTCCTGGGCATCCTCCTCCATGATGGTCGCAGCCCACTTGCGACACATAGCTGTCGGATATTGGGCAGTCTTCCCGACATCGACGAGGCCTGTCTCGATCACAGTGTGCTCGTGGTCACGCGTACACCTCCTCCGAAGTCGGTCGGCAAGCTTCTGGTTGGTGGTGACGATCCTCCAGCCTTTGCGAACCAACTCTCCGGTCACGTCGCTCCTCATACCCCAGCCGCATCCGTAGCTGATGGTCTCGTACAGCTGCTGCCACACGTCGAACAGCTCCGGGATACTTCTCCAGGAGCTCGCGGTGAGGGGATGCTCCACTGAAATCTCGGTGCCGACCTCCTGCCACGCATAGATCAGCACCTCCAGGGCGTTCCTCATGACCCTGCGTCCTCACTTCCTGACCTTCATCAGCTTCTCCTGGGACTCGACGGTGTTGGGCCTTCCGTTTTGTAGTGCTGAGAACGGCGAGCACGGAGGGGAGGCGTGGGCCCAGCGAGGTCGTTCCCTACTGATGAGTTCTTTCGCCTTGAGCACAGAGGACTTCTTGGAGAAGTCGAAGAGGTTGAACAGGCCCATCCTCGTGACCACTCCTCCCATCTTCTCCACCTGGCTGCCCAGAGAGCTGTCCAGTGGGACACAGATCTCCAGCAGGTCGGTTCGGCCCTCTCGGGCCATGGCAGACAACTTCCGGATCCCTTGGTGGTCGAGCTTCGCGGCCGCTTGCAGCGCTTTGTGTCTCACTCGCTGAGGTAGCTGACCTACCACTCGTAGCTTATCTCCCGCCAGC